GAAGGTGCTAGCAGAGAATTGTCTTTCCATCACTACACTGTCAGTGACCGTGGCCCGACAAAACCGCGCTCGTCAAAATAGCGGTGATTAAACCGCGTCGCTAAAGCCGCGATGTCATCACCGCGCGTCATCACCGCCGCGACAACAGCGCGGCGACAGAAGGGCGTTCTACATGCTTCGTTCTTTGCCTCCAAAGGTAGCCCTCCTCCTCCAGCTGACAGCGGCAATGGGGCAAGCGGGCTGCCCAGCAGCAGCAGCCTGCGGGAAGGGTCCAGCTCAGCCCCGGGAGAGCCTCAGCCGCCGCCGCTGCTGCATCCTCCTTCGCCACCGGCATCGGCGGCCCCACTCAGCCCCCCCCCGCAGGCTTCCTGCTGCCCCCCGCGGCTGAGCTGGACCCTTCCCGCAGGCTGCTGCTGCTGGGCAGCCCGCTTGCCCCATTGCCGCTGTCAGCTGGAGGAGGAGGGCTACCTTTGGAGGCAAAGAACGAAGCATGTAGAACGCCCTTCTGTCGCCGCGCTGTTGTCGCGGCGGTGATGACGTGTGGTGATGACATCGCGGCTTTAGCGACGTGGTTTAATCACCGCTATTTTGACGAGCGCGGTTTTGTCGGGCCACGGTCACTGACAGTGTAGTGATGGAAAGACAATTCTCTGCTAGCACCTTCCTTAAAAAATGCTGCAGTGGGATTAAAGGGTAAGGAAATTTACTGCTGACTGAGTTCTAAAAAACCTTCTAAAAATTTAAGAAAGAACATTTGAGCAATACTGCCATAGGAGGGACAGAAGGATATAGGCATGTCATATACTATGTTTCCCTGAAAATAAGACCCAGTCTTACATTCTTTTGGGTTTAAAATAAGCACTAGGGTTTATTTTGGGGAAAACATGATTCAGCATGTTCAGCGATCAGCCCCGCTGGATGCCCCACCTTCCCCGGCACACGCACAAAAGGTGGTGAGTGTGCCGGGGGCCAACATCTGGCAGCAGCTGCAGCCCATCAGGCCTGTGGTCAGTGCACTCTGGGGCTGCGCAGCCTGTGCAGCAAAAGTGAGTTGATTACCTGTCCAAGCAGCAGATGGCCTACGGTGGGAGGTTCATCTTCCCACAGCGACAGCAGCAACAGATGGAGGCAAAGGCGCGGGGAGGGAGGCACGCAATCCAGACGTGTCGCAGAGCTACCAGAAGAAAAGAACAGCTCAGAAATCAGGGTCGACTTGGGAATAAAGCCACAGGTGGACATTGAATGGCCCCTCTTGGGCTGCGCAGCCTGTGCAGCAGAGATAAGTTGATTATCTGTCCAAGCAGCAGATAGCCTACCATGGAAGACTCATCTTTCCACAGTGACACCAGCAGCAGATGGAGGCAGAGGCACGGAGTGGTAGGCACGCAGTCTGGATGTGCCACACTGGTCACATACAAGCCGAGAGATAGTGGGCCAGCCATGGGAGGCCCATCTTCACATCTCTTGGCCTGCCTATGACCCACACAGAGCATCAGGATCACCTGCCTTCCCCCCTGAGCCTTTGCCTCCATCGGCTGCTGGTGCTGCTGCATAAAGTCGAACATCCCGCAGCTGGCTGCTTGCTCCGGACCACTGACTGTCAGCTTTCCTGCAGCCCACGCGGTACATCCGGATCGCCTTCCTTCCCACCTGCTGCTTGGACAGGTAATCAACTGAACTGCACTACATAGGATGTGGCTGCCACACCCTCACTACCTCCATTGCTGGCAATTTCCCCCTCCTGAATTGCAAAATTAAATGGGCAGCGAGTATCCTATCCAATCTATTAGATAGTTTGGGTTATGAAAATAAAATGATAGGCAAACCTCTTTTGCATCACTTTAAGCTTTTGTGGAAGGACAACATATGCACTTAATATTAACTAAATAAAACTTTTCATGATTCCTATACAAACACAGATATACCTGCAAGAACGCCTGTCAATATATCAGATGCAATTTCATGTAATGCAGTTTTGGTTTGGTGTCTTCTATATATGGATTCACAACACAAAAGCAGTATTTAATGGATGTAATTAACCACATTTGGCAGTTGAAATTTGAAACATATTGCCTCTGACTATGTAAATAGTTAGGGTTTTTATTTAGATTTTTTGTTGTCAAAGAATACTGTCTTTTTTAATTACTTGTTTAAAGGAATAATGTACAGCTCATTTTGAATATATAGGGCAATGATGACAACCCTTTTACTTACGGTGTGCCAAAATTGCATGCGTGCGCTATCGTGCATGCGCACATGCCAACACCAATTAAAACCACCTCACTCACCTGCGCATATGCATACCCTGCCGTACATGTGCTCACAACCCCTCCCCAGGCTCTGGAGACTTTTCTGAAGCCTGGAGAGGGTGAAAATGCTCCCCTCCCCGACCTCCAGGAACCCGGACACAGATCATTTTTGAACTCCCAGTTGGCCCATTAGGCCTGTTTTTCGGCCTCCCCAGCCTCTGGAGACTTCCCTAAAGCTTGGGGAGGCCGAAAAACGCCCCCAATGGGCCAACAAACTTCCGGTTGGCCCGTTGTGGCCATTTTTCGGTTGCCCCAGCCTCCGGAGGCTTTCCTGAAGCCTGGGGAGGATGAAAATGGCATTTCTCATCCCTCCGGAAGGACAAAAAATAATTTGGCCAGGGCGCATGTGGCTCCATGTGCCACAGGTTCACTATCACAGATAAAGGAAGATGTTTCTTTGTGATAAGTTTGCATTGGTTATTAGTTCCCTATATTTCAGCTGATTAGCGAAGCGTTTTTCATTAAATAATCCTTTGTAAAAGCATATTTGTCCTTAAGTCATTAGCTACTGATACTTTTCAGTCAATCGAATGAATAGTAAAATAAAGAAGGGTATGAAAGTGAAAAAAAGCAATACTTGTTTTAATACTTAAAATGTTCACATTTTATCTAATGCTTCCTTAATTTCTGTCTTATTAGTAAAGCCATCCATGCCTGAAACAACAGCACTTGGAGCAGCAATGGCAGCTGGAGCTGCAGAAGGGGTGGGTGTGTGGAGCCTACATCCGGATGACTTCACAGCAGTAACATGTGAACGTTTTGAGCCACAGATCAATCCAGAGGGTAAGAAGGGTTTTAAGATCTGATCTCTGCTATCTAAGCTTGCTCAGCCTATGCAAATCTAGTTTATTCATACTGTTATAAGATTAGTTTGTCCTGTCAGGATAGTTGTGCTACCTCTGTGAATTGTGAACTATCTTAGTATAATTATATTGGGGGGAGGGAGGTTGAAATTCTCCTTATTTTTATTTAAATTTTGAAGTTTTCAGACAGTTAATGAAATTCCTATGCATTTTAGAAGTCTTTCCCATATATTACAAAGTACTCGTACATTAAATAAAAATAATTGTTTGAATTTTTGATAAAGAAGTTGCATATGATTTCAGAAAGTGAATATCGTTATACCAGATGGAAGAAAGCTGTTAAGAAATCAATGGGGTGGGAAACCTCAGAACCTCAAGGAAACAGTGAGTTTTTACTTGTATTATATACATTACTTGTAAAAATCAAATTGCTTTTCTGTACACAATAGATTGCAGCAAATAGAAAAAAATGGTTTTTTGATTGATAGTGGTAGTAATTATAATCCAGCCATGTTTTAGTAAGTGCCTAGAAATTAAAAATGTGGAACAATGTGTAGACTTACTTTTGAATATTTTTTGTTGAGATGCACAAGCAGATAGTAGCAAGTTAGAAATATACTCTCAAATTATTTGAGGAATACATTTCTACTGGCATTTATAACTTGTTACTGAATTGTATGAAAATTTCTAAAGTCTTGAGTACAGCTAGTAATATACTCAAATCCTGCTACCACTTTTTAAGATTTAGTTTAATTTTAAAGTTACAAAACAGTTTGTAAGCTGTTTGTAAATACAGAAATTAATCATACTAAATAAATCAATTCATATAGTCACATGAATTTGATTTATCCTGGCCTTAGTCTTCTTCTCAAAGCCAGTCACAGTGATTGGCCGGAAAACAAAATGTAGATCTAACCAGTAAACAGAAACAGTTGAAACACTTTATAAATTACATCAAGCGCTTCAGACAATTGCATGTGAATCTTGATTAAAAATGCTTAAAAATTGCAATTTTTGAAGTTTTGAAAGTGCCTCCAGACAAACATTGTAGTAAAGAGCTATTTCAGTTTTGTTTCAAACTACTGAAATTCAGATTGTATAAGGCTTCATTTTCACATGAAAGTAAAGCATATATTTATTTTTACATTCATCATCCTTGAAAGCTATTATCCATCAAGATTAATTCTGAATGTAAATTGTTTTATGTACTACATGAACTAGCTAAATAAATATTCAACCCTCATTATTGACAGCTGTCGTACTAAAAATAGAAAAAAATGAGGTAACAAAATTTATTTGCCTTCATAGCTACATTTTATTAATGTGCAGTTAAGAATATAACTGAACTCATATCAAATATATTTGTTTTAATTCATTAATGCTATTTTATAGCTTTCAGTGAGAACCTAAGTATTTCTATTTAGAAATATATTCTAATAAATTCAGTTAGACTATTGTCCTTCTAAACCTGCTTAAGCTAAACTTAAAATAATTAAGATTATTGTTCAGTATAATTAAGTACAGTCAGAAAGTTTAAAGTGTAAATTCAGTGTAATTTAAAAAATTGAAAATAACTCCTCCTACCAGGAGGATGAAGATGCATCAGTTAGACTAAAGATACTTGGATGTGGCAATAGATTCTTGTTTCGGATAGAAGAACAAATCAAGATCTTATTAGACACATGGCTTTTTAAAAAAGTTCTAATAACTGCAGAAAGGGGGTAAAAAAGGGAGGGGAGAATTTCTTGTTTTTTAACAGTAGGTTGAGCAATGTAAGTTAGAAAGTCCAACAATAGAACAAAAAGCCCATAACAATATTTTACCTTACATAAAGTGATAGTTTCTATGTTGTTGGAAAGATATGGGCAGGTTAGTAAAGGACAATGATATACAATGTTTACTTTTATAAGTCCTGGTTATTATCAGAGGCGGGTTGCCAATTTTTTCACTACTGGTTTGGGCATGCTCACATGCATGCGCACAACATTTCTGAACATGTGCAGAAGCATCTGGGTGGATGGGCAGAGCCTCCCGCTGCCACTACTACCGGTTTGGCCGATCCGGGCCAAACCGGCAGCAACCCACCTCTGGTTATTATCTAGTTGACTTGTTGACTGAGCCAAAATTACAGCTTCACTGGTTTGAAGAAACTATTGGAATTCCTCCTTTGCATGCAATGATATAATGTCCAGTAAAAATGCCATTTTTTATAATGGTGATATTAATAGCACACAATAATAATGGTCTTGGCAATTTTACATAGACATTACATGATAATCAGTAAAATACAATACAATTAATACTTATCTTAGTAATGGTTTATCAGAGCTTTAACAACATTGTGCTTAGTCAAACACTGGAAATGCAATCCAGGGAGGAACAAATTTGTTAATAATATCACATATTCTGTATGAAGACCACAAGAAATGCAATTATATTTTTTATTTCAAACAAAATTTATGTTTAGCTTAAAAATGCCCTGTTTATGAAAAAATAAGTTTTTAAATTCAGCAAGCATGACTATAAGTCGGGTGAGAAAGATGTAGAGTAGAGAAGTCTATTACTGTAAAGAGAATTAATATGTAAAAACTTGAGAACCCTTTAATTAGATGCAGTAGTTTTCCTGAGGGCAATTTAAATGCTTGTTGCTACTTGAAAGTATTGTGCTGCTTGCTGCAGAGTACTAGACACAGCTGCTCAGAAATGAATGGTAATACATTCAGTGAACCTTGGTCCTTGGTAAATGATATAACATTGCAGCTTTGCAATCTATAGAGATTTTAGATATGACTGTCATAAATGGCTTTAGTACTGTACTTGCTCGTTTATAATTAACAATAGAAATGTTATGCTTTCAGTTCAAGCCTGGAGACAATTGGTACATGTATATTTCACTTGCTGATAGTATAATGTGTATGATGGAGCAGGCACAATGCATGATTGGACTTAAGAGATATGCAATGCCCACATTACATGATACTTCATACACAGTCAATATTTTTGAAAAACAAAGATAGTTTGATAGTTTATATGTGTATAATCAGACACGCATGAATTCACTCTTCTACCTTCCATGGTATATTCTTTCTCCTTGCAATATTTGTAATGCTTAATATCAGCTTTATTTGAAATTCTGTACTATCTACTTTATTAGTAGCGAATTGTTTCTGTCTAAATAATCTTAAATATTGACACTGGACGCAAGACTGAAATATATCTAAGCATCAGTGTTAGTCCTATTTCTAATTATTACATGCTGAACTATCTGTAGCATTTTGCACAATTTCTCTCTTCTAATTTTCTTCATGTAATTCTTAAATAGTGCAATTTACACGTATCTCTCTCTTGATTTGTTTGACTGGAACCTCTCTTCTGGATGACATCAGGTGAAACTAGTATCTTCTGTAGTCTACCTTTGGGCTTTTTTATAATGAGTAGCCTGTTAATATTAATCGGAGCAAAGTATATCTCAGGTTAGTTTATATTTTGAAATGTCTTGTTTTTACAAGATAATCACTGCTAGATAATTTAAATACTTTCAGTTTGAAAAAAAGTGTTTAGTATTGTATATGGAGAAATATTTAATGATACTGGCTTTTAACCATTTTAATTTAAAAGTTCATATAAGAAATGCAGAAAATATTTTAAAATCTGCCATTAATTTTTTCTACTATTTCAAATAATTTTTAAAAAGTGGGGAAGGGTGTCTAAATAAATCTTGAGGGATGCATCCTAGTTATTTCTTTTTGAGGTTTGATTACTACTGAAAAAAACACATATCTGCAAAAAAAATCAGAATATGTGATTTTATAAGTAAATTTTTAAAAAGTTTCTAGATTAGAAAAATATACTGTAAGATCTTACATCTGAACTTGATTGTTATCCCTTTCAAATTAATTTAGATACCACAAAACTCATAACTTAAAGCAAAATTAGCCTCCCAAAACTATTTCTTATTTTGATTTTTTTTAAAAAAATAAGTTTCATAATTTTTCTATTTTTTAAAAAAAGTTAATATTTTATCAGCGTTCCTTTTCCTATTCAAATGTTGAGAAATGTGAATAGCTAAATTGACTTGGTCACAATTGAAAACTATGCTTAGCAAAATGAAGGATCTCTTCATAGCTCAAAACATATACAGAAAATATAAATTAATCTTGTACATGGACAGATAATACAGATACTATTGGCAGAGGAGTTTCAATAAGCATTTATTCAGGTGATATTTACCAGAAGTAATGAACTCCCCCCCCCCAGCTCTGTACAAATGGTTGTTACATATAAAGGAGAATTTTATTTTCATTCTTTAATAAACTTAAACAATAATTTGTTATTTTAATTACTTACAATTTATAAATAATTACTTGCCTGATTAACTATGGTATATTGATCTCTCATGTGATCAGTCATCTACTACAGATTCTTCTTTTTTAAGCAGAAATCATTCATATAAAATATACATATATGAAAGACAAATCAAAGCTGGAGAAAGGATTATGTAAAAGCCTTAAATAATGAAATGTTTGCTTATACTAGAATTTACCCGGATTATAAAATGCTATATTTATTAATTAGAATAATTCAGATTTAAATATGAATTTTTAAAACTTGTTAAAACTCCAAAACTACTAGATGCTTATCATGTAAAGTATAGTACTTATTTAATGAATACAGATAGTCCTCTACTTACGACCACAATTGAGCCCAAAAATTTTGTTGTTAAGTGAGACATTGATATTGAGTTGTGTCCCATTTTACGACCTTTCTTGCCACAGTTGTTAAGTGAATTACTGCAGATAAGTTATAATACGGTTATTAAGTGAATCTGGCTTCCCCATTGACTTTGCTTGTCAGAAGGTTGCAAAACAAGATCACATGGGACACAACAATGGTCATAAGTATGAACCAGATGCCAAGCATCTGAATTTTGATCATATGATCATGGGGATGCTGCAAAGATCACAACTGAATAACGGTCATAAGTCATATTTTTCAGTGATGATGTAACTTTGAATGGTCACTAAATGAACTGTTGAAAGTCGAGGATTACCTGTATACAAAAGGAAGGAATGTGTGAAACACTATATATGCTCCAAAGCAGGTCTCTATATAAAAATCTACTAGTAAGATGCTTCCTAATTTTTAGCTTGCTATGTCATGCTCCCCCTCCTCAAATGTTGCATCCCCAAAATCTCACAATAAGAATCTTTTACAAGCTGCATCTCTTAGAAGCCTCTGTATGATTCTACAATAACTTACAGCAGGAGTCACTTTCTGCATATAATTACATTATTTTATACTTTTTTATCATAATATTGAAGGTGACATAATATTCAAGATGGAGTTTTCTGAAAACTCTTATTCAGAACTAGACTTCTTGGTTTCAGTAAAGTTCTGCTGAGACCATACCTTGGTATAGTAATGTAAGACTGCAAGAGTTACATTTTGAATAGAACATTTGAATTCTACACTCAAATGTTCTATTCAAAATGTAACTCAGTTGCAGAAATGTTTTATGAGCCACAGAGGTGGTCTACTATAAAGTGGGAAAATTAGAGTATTTTATTCTTATCAAAGGACAGCTTCCTTACCCAAGGCAAGCATATATAATTCCATGTTATTTTGGATTGAATGCATAAATAACATATGGTATTGAAATTACTACATTTTTAATATGTATTAATTATTTTTAAAAAAACTATTGTAAAAAAGCAATTTCTGACTTGATGTCCCTTGCTTAAATTTTGAGAGCAGTTTTGTATGCAGCTTTCTTGAATACCGCTGCTACATATGCTCCTTTGCAGTTCATATATGTAAATACGGTGTGCTCAAAACCTTTTGAATTTCAGTATTTCTATATAAATATGATCTACTTTCTGGATAATTTCTCCCCATTTGATTGATTTATTTTATTTTTTTTAATTATATAAAGTTTTTTTTTTTCATTTTCATTACAAATAACCACATGTATACTATTACATCACCAACATCATATTATATTGTTTAATGTTTACATCAGTTCGTCTTACCATCAACTCCCCAAAACAATTATTGGCTCTTCTGCTCTCCATACTCCATATTTATACCCTATCCATCACTTTCTTCTCCCTCTCTCCTCCTCCCTATCAACTTTGTTCCCTCTGTTCTCCTTCTCTTCTCTACTTCCCCTTCCTCTCTTCTTCTCCTCTCTCCCCTTTCCACTCCTTCTTTCTCTCCCCCTCTTCCCCCCCCATCCTCTCTCCTATCCCTCTCCTTCATACACACACACACACACATACACACACACACACACACACGTGCTGGTCTTGTTGTATTCGGGTCCTTTCCCGTGTAAGATTGAGGGAAAAGACCCGAATACAACAAAACCACCTACACTCAAAACAAATATAAATATTTTATATATGCTATAATCTTCAACAAGTTGGTACTTTCTGGATATGCTGAACTACAGTATACCTCCCACAGATCATTTATATCCATGAATAAAAGTTTATGGTATGATTTGAATAAAAATAAATTCTACTGAGATTTCTCTTTTTTTTTCAGGGAAAACGGTGTAGAATTGCTGTGTTAATTAATTATAATAATTGAAACTGTATGATTATTATTCCTACTCCTACTAGCATAAAATGATCCTAAAATTACATGAATAGCAGGTTTTTTTTTAAAAAAAAATATTTTTTTCATTTTCATAACAAATAACCACATGTATACTAACATATAACCAGCATTATTTTGTTAAATGTTTACATCAATTCATCTTACCATCAACCCCCCAAAACGATTATTTGCTCTTCTGTTCTCCATACACAGTATTTATACCCTAGCCATCATTTTCTTCTCCCTTTCTCCTCCTCCACCCTACCTCCTCTGTCGTCCTTGTCTTCTCTACTTCCCCTTCCTCTCTCCTTCTCCTCTCTCCCCTTTCCACTCCTTCTTTCTCTCCTCTGCTTCCCCCTCTTTACCCTCTCTCCTATCCATCTCTTCTTTCCTTACCTCTCTCCTCTACTCCGCACTCTTCCTCTCATTTACTTGGTGTATTTCAGCCTCTGAGTGAGCTCCATTTTATGTTGATGATATTTATATATTTATAAAGTTTTTCATCTTCTATTCCTATTTCAGTAGACAGAGAACTTGTTACACTGAAATGGGGAATGGAGAGGAGCACTTTAAAATCCTCTAGTGCTGTTGTTATTTAATGAATTAATTGCATATGTTTTCTACAATGACATTTTATGCTTCTGTGGGTTAGATAATATAATCCATGCCTCAGGTTGGTACTGTTAGAATTTGATAGGTGGTTTAGTTTCAGTTAAGGATTTCCCCAGAAGATATTATAAGCATTGTGTTATATTTATCCTCTTAACAAAAATTATTTGCTTACTGATCCTTTTTTTTCCCTTTCAGGTAAATTCAAATGAGGCGTTTTAATGGATTTCAGGAGACTTTAACATCTCAAAAGAATATGGTGCTTTCTTAACAATTTTAATGGCATTATTTTGACGCAGTTCATTGTCAAAATAACTATTTAGGAAAAAGATTTAATCAGGAATGAACAAATTATAGTTGCTACTAATTATCTGCTTTAAAAGTAAAGTGAAAAAAACCTCTTGGTTAACTTCTGTAACTGCCATCACATGTTTTCTCCACTTTGAAATGAAACATGAAATAAAAAAAGTTAATTTTTTTAAAAAAAATCTAAATGGTACACTTTAAGAACTTTATTGTATACACTTACAATACACTTACACTTAAGTTGTGGTGATTTCTTTTTAGAAATTGCTTATAGCAATACTTTCCCAAATCATCTTTCTTATTCACTGATTAGATAACCTCACTGAGATTTGAAGATTCAATAATATATTTTGTAACAAGGAAAGAACAGTTATTTATTCTCCCTTTTCATATGCATTGTTTATCATATTAGGGATTCTAAGCTACTAAGTAAAACTGGTAGACTTCAGAAAATGTATTTAACATTAAAATTAGTATGTAAAATATACTGCATATGTATAGCAAGAAAGCTATATGCCATATTTTTCAGAGTATAAGACACACCTTTCTCCCCCAAAAAGAGGGTGAAAATTTGGGTGTGTCTTATACACCGAATATAGGCTCACCCACCCCCACCAGAGGCCAAAAATGTGAGGCATGGTGGCAGTCATGGTCTCTGGCAATCCACCTGCCAATCAGCTATGCTGAATCAGGCTGCAATAAGTGCTGAAGCTGATCTGGCTGGTCAGAGTTTGCAGCAGCAGTCACATTCAGAAAGCACAATAACTGATTCAGCAGGACTCAAAATAATAATAATATACAATACATTACCAAAAGCAGGTTTTCAAAGGTAGCAGTAAATACAAGCAAAACACAAGCAGTTTCACTTTCAGTTCTCGGCTAAGCCAGGCTCCTTCCTGTCTCCTTGCTCACACAGCAAAATTCAGAGTCCAAATAGCCCTCACTGGCTGACTTAGTTGCTATGCCTATTCATTGGCTGACCTTACCATGTGTCAGCTGAATACCATGGATGCTGGTAGGCAGAGGCAGAATTTTTCATATTATTATTTTCCTCCTCCAAAACTAAGGTGTGTCTTATACTCCAGAGTGTCTTATACTCTGAAAAATATGGTATTTGAAATACTGTATTATAAATCAAATTACGAAGTGTATGGATATGAAGATTAAATATGAGCTCAAAAAGTTCAAATTACACTTATTCTAGTAAATAAGTATAATATTAATGGGCTGTAGTTGAAAACTACAAACATTTTTCAATCTTTCATTTTACTTAAAAGTCTGGACCAAAATTTGCTTTTCAGTGGGATACATTATAAGCAGTGGCAATCATGATTTCTGGATATAATATTTTAGATATCTGAAGAATAAAATAACTTTTATAGGTCCCAAAGTTTAACATTAATGTATGTCAGAACAATACTTTATAATATTCATACTTTCATTAACAATTAAAACAAAATCAAACATTGTTGGCTCCCAGATTAATCCCATCTTTTTTTTTTAAAACTGAGGAAATATCTGGTAAAATTTTGTCAAACAACCCATAGAAAGTTCCATGCTCCTTGAAATTTATCTTCAATGCACACTATCCTTCTTTTCATAGTTAAGACTTCTCTAGGATAGGGCTCAGGATTAGCTTTGCCCACTAATGGAATGAGATGGAGTTGAAAATACTGTGAATCTAGGCTGCTACTATTTGGAGATGCTTCAAGACTATTCTTAGTATAATGATAAAATGCATGTGGAGAGAGATTTAACATAACTTCTTCCCTGCATAAAAATATATTAGTATAATTAAAAGTTAATAGAAAATTGATCTTCACTTTTTAAATATAAAACTCACCTGATTCAAAGTACAGTGTGTAAACACATTGAAAGTAGCAATATTGTAATGTAAACAGACTGGCAGTTAAAGAATATGTGCATGGTGAAACGGTTTCTGGGTCTCTCATTTCCTACATTTTTTATAGAATGTACATGTAATCATTAACAAAATAAAATTCAAATAATGTTAAACTAATGGTTTTTCATAATTGTAAAAATGATTTTTGCTTTGATTTGAAATGTAGAATACTTATAGCAATTGCTGAACATTTTAACTGAAAACTAGTCTTGATAATTAGTATTTCAGCTTTTTCATAAGCTGAATCTAAGACTACTTGTTGTTTCTTTTGTATCACAATTTGTTGGTATATGTCACCCATAAATGAATGTAAGCTTCCAAATGTCAATTAGGAAATTGACTGTACTTCTGGACAGACTTCATATATTTTAAGGCTATATTTGGCAAGCCAACATTTTCTCTGTTCCTGACAATGTAAAAGACCCCCCCCCCCCAAATAAGTTTAGAGTTCAGAGGAAAGAATACTTTTCTGGATATTTCTTTGGCAAGCTAAGTTTATAGCCATATTTGTTCACAATATATTGCATAGGAATTATACCATTATACTGTGGCTGAAAATATAATTTTTTAAAGTTCTATTTTATAAACCTTGAACTTAATCTGAAAAATGGCTTTTTTATTATGCTCCCTGCTTAGGTTTTCTGCTTTGTATAGTATATTGGGATTGGCAGCTTCAGATATTAAATTAAGGATATTAAATTAAGTTCATTAAATTAAGTTGTTAATTATAGTTGGAATTTTTCATAATGTACTACCATTTTTTTCTATAAAACAAAAATAAATTAATTGTTGGAACTGCTCACTTTTCATGAATGGAATTTTTTTCTACATAATTTGAATTATTAAATGGATACACTGAAAATGTGAAATAGAAAAGATGTCAATATTGCACTTGTAGAAATATATGTGATTTCAAATGTGTTTAATCTTTTTGTCAATTATGCTTGTGATGGAACCCATAAATAAAATGCTAATGAAATCTTCACTTCTAGAAATTTTTTACTGAAGCTTCTGATAAATAATGTAATATTAACTTTAAGAATCACAATTTTAAAAATATATTTTTTGGCCTTAAAATAAAAAGTTTACATTTTAAAGTCAAACTGAATATTTTCTTTTTAAAAAAAAAATTTTTTTTAATTTTTAATTTAAAACAAATACAACATCTTTCTTTACATGCTATAGAAAGTATATCAGTTGGTTCCAAATAGACTTTTGTGCATCTCTTCCACAGTCAACAAACATAATTCATGTTAACTCGAGCATTTTAACTCAAATATTCATACATTACAGTGTCATTCTTTATATTCATAATTTTGCAACAGCTTTACCAAATAGTAGACTTATAGTTCATATCCAGGGGAGCTAATTGATTCTGTATGCAACTTAGCACTTATTTATTTTTTATTTATTTATTAGAATTTATAGGCCGCCCTTTTCCCTGAGGGGACTCAGGGCGGCTTACATAAAATAAGGAGGGGAGGAT